TTCCTACCCAGTAGGGTGTCTTTTTGTTTTAATGATAATTTCTCTGTACAGGTTTTAACTTGATGCAGTTCCAGTCGTTTGTTTTGCTTTTGTTTTCCTTGCTGTTGAAACTGAATTCCCAAAGACATCACAGAAGCCAATGTCATGGATTGTTTTGCCTATGTTTTCTTCTATGTATTTTATGGTTTCTGGTCTTACAGCCAAGTCTTTAATCCATTGTGAAAGATAGGTCTAGTTTCATTTTTTTCTGTATGTGCTGTTCAGGTTTCCCAACATCATTTGTTGGAGAGACTTGCACATGCCGTACCATGTGCAACATGGGGAGGAATAAGGAATCTGTCATTACTGGAAAACTAGAAATTCAGCTGTGTCCCTGTCCCTGGGCTTATCTTGGCAGGTCTGCTCCCAAGTCCCATCCTGGGGCTCACTGAGGTCTGCTGAGGGCTACTGCCTGTAGGGTTGCTTCCTGGGTCTGCCTTGGAACTCACAGGTGTCTGCACTGAGTTCTGCAGGGGTGCACTGTGGTGGTTCCCCTTCTAGATCCTGTCCCAGAGCTCACTAAGGTCTGTGCCAATGTTTTTTAGGGCCTTCTATGGCAGGTGTGCTTCTAGGACCTGCCCCAGGACTCACCAAGGTATGCACCAATGCCTGTGGAGCCCAGTTGAACATTTTGAAATGATTTAGATTGGTTTGTTATTACTACTGTGATGAATTGCCTCAATCTTAGCAACTAAAAACAATATGAATTCACTAACAGTGCCAGAGGTTAGAAGTCCAAAGTGAACTGAAATAAAAGTATCAGTGGCCCATGCTTCTTTTACAATACTAGAAGAGAATCTGTTCCTTGCCTTTTTTAATTTAAGAATTCCTTGGTTCATGGCCCCTTCCTCCATCCATTTGAGTAGCACCTTCTGATTCTGATTCCGATTCTGTCTTCTCCCATTATTACATCTCTTCTCTCACCCTACTACCTCTCTCTTATGAAGAACCTTATGATTACAATAAGCCAGGCCAGATAATCTAGGATAATCTCTCCATTTCAAAATCTTTACTTTAATCGCATCTGCAAAGTCTCTTTTGCTGTGTAAGGGAACACTCAACAGGTTTCAGTGATTGGACACAGACATCTTCAGAGTTCATTATTCTATCTGCCATTGTTTTTTCTCTTACTCCGCTTTTCTTCTGTTAATGATTCTTTAAGCTGTAAGAATGATGAGTTCATAACTATCCATCTATCACAGTCTTTTACTTTTGCAGAGAATTCTTTACTAAAGGATGATGGAGTCCACCACCCAAAGTGACTGTCTTTTGTATCTTTTACACAGGAAGGTCTGCATTAATACTCATGATAATAGCTCATTGCATGGAGTCCTTACTCTGTGCCAGACACTTTATGTAGATTAACCCATCCAGTTCTCACAAACAGTGATCAGAAGGAGCTACTATAATGAGACTCACTTAACAGTAAGGAAATGGAAGCCTGGAGAGATTGTTACTTGCTCAGGTCCCAGAGTAACCTGTGTTACTCTGGCCTGTGTGACTTATCCCCATGCTTATTATACAACCTAGAACTTACCTGGCCCAACACCTGTCCTAGGAAGTGAGGGGACAGATGTGAGACCTGACCCATCTATCCCCCTATGGATTGCCAACCAGTTTATCTGGTTGTCATGGGTGGGGAAGCCACCTGGCTGCCTGGAGACAATAGCCTGCTCTGTGTCCAGCATGTGGCATATGTGTGTTTAGACAAGAAAATCTAAATCAGACTTCATGTTGGCACACTCAGCCCAAAAGCATTTTTAAGCCATTCCCAGGAGTAATACACAGTCTAAGAAACCCAATTCAGATGGCAAATTACTAGGATTTCTGAGGTCTGCTGCTGATTTACAGGACTAATTGGACAGACTATTTGAAATCAAATAGAATGAAGATAACTGATAATTAGCACACTGGGTCTCAGCTGATAATAGTATGGGCTGCCTGGGACAAGGGAGGTCTAGATAGGGTGGGTTGTGAAAAATGGGTGTGGGGCATTCTGGACCAGCCTTCATGTTCTGCATCACAGAGTCAGAAGGCAGAACTTGAATCCAACTCTCTGCTACTTTCTTGCTGTGCATTCACAGGCAAGTCAGTAACTTCTCTGAACACATCCCCAATGGGAGGAAAAGACCTACACTCATAGATTTGGAGAGAAAGAAGAAAGAGAAATAGTACTGACTAAATTAGATGTCCATTCTAGCACGAGGCCAGAACATACAAGGTACTCAAAAGATTAAAAAACGTTTTTGTCTGATCTTGTACAGCCTCATATCAATATGCCTAGTCTTGATTCTGTTGGTCTAATTTCCATGTATTTTAAACCGTGAAGCACTGTAGTTAGCCAATTAAATAAGAAAGCACCAGCAAAAGAGTAGAGCAAGATCCAATAGTTTTAACTATGTTCTACACTAACTCTTAGAATTTGCCTTCTTATATTATATCCAAGTAATATATGCTTGAACAACAGTCAATCAAAATAGAAATACATAAAGTAAAAAGCAACTGCCCTATAATTGCTAAAACTTGGAAGCAGCCAAAGTATTCATCAGTAGGTGAAGGGGACAGCGAGATAGTGGAACATTCTTTGGCACTAAAAGCTAATGGCTCGCCAGCCACAAAAACACATGGAGGAAACTTAAATGCAAATTACTAAGTGAAAGAAGTCAATCTGAAAAGGCTGCATACTGTATAATTCCAGCTATATAAAATTTGGGAAAAAGCAAATGGAGACAATAAAAAGATCAATGATTGCTGATCACTGAGGAAAGAAGGGATAAATAGAGTACAAAGGATTTTTAGGGCAGTGAAACTACTCTGTACAGTATTCTCATGATGGACACACATTATTGTACATTTTTCAAAACACATAAAATGTACAGCCCTAATGAATCTCAACAGACTGGACTATGGGGGGGGTTAATGAACTGTGAACTTCGGGCTATGGATTTTAGATGACAATAATGTGTTGCTACCGGTTCATCAATTGCAACAAACATACCATTCTGGTGGAGGACATTGATGGTGGGTGAGTTTGTGTACTTGGAGGGCAGGGAAAATATGGGGAATCTGTACTTCCCACTCAATTCTGCTATGAACCTAAAACTGCTCTAGAAAATCTATAAAGTTTATTAAAAAAAAAAAAAACCAATATCCCCTAACCTCAATACTTCTCCCCTTCCCAGAGGGGATCTCACTTAACAATTTCATGGGACCCCATCCAGCCCTTTCTATGCATGTTCAAACATATTTGCAGCTAATCTGAATTTTTATCTAAGTGTGTTTACAAGGAACATTGCATGTCATTCTTTTCCATAAGTCAACTTAATTTCATAAGTCAACTTCTTTGAAACTGGTAGAAAATTCAATCTCAGGCCAGATGGTGGCTCTCCCCACCCACCCCAGGAATGAGTAAAGATCCCTGCGTGGCACAAGAAAGGGTCTGTGGTGCTCAGGAAATCTAAGAGATCAGACCCCTGCTTCTCCTGACCTGAGAAACACCTCTCAAAGGGCCCTGTCCACTTTCCCTCTTCCTTCCTCCCCCTTTGACATGACTGGACCTTGTGACTCCAGCTTCCACTATGCGAGGAAGAGTTGTTGACTCTCAGCTCCTTTCTGTTTCTCTCCTACACAGCTCAGAGACAAGAAAATCTAAGGGTATGGCTACTCTTTGGGAGTAGGAAAAAGAGAAACAAAGACAAGGAATAAAGCCCAGTATCTCCAAGTGTCCTGCCACATTGTACACATGTGTGTGTACCCATGTGTGTACAAGCTGAACTCTGCTAAGTTTTTCTCTTTGATCAAACAATGTATCAGAATCAGATCTCTATGCCAGAACATATATTTTCTCTATGTGTGTTTAAAAAAAAAAAAAACAGTACAATTGACCCTTTAATAATGCAGGTGCTAGAGATACCAACCCCTCATGCATTCAAAAAGTCACATAAAACTTTGACTCCCCAAAAATTTAACTGCTAATAGCCTGCTGTTGATCAAAATTCTGCCATCAACGTAGACAGCTGATGAACACATATTTTGTATGTTATATGTATTATATATTGTACTCTTAAAATAAATAAGAGAAAAAATATTAAGATCATTATAAAGGTCTTCATCCTCATCATCTTCACACTGAGTAGTCTGAGGAGGAGGGGGAAGAGAGGCATTGAGAAAAATCCACATATAAGTGGACCATAGAGTTCAAAGGTCAACTGCATTCCATTTACGTTTGTAGAATAATTTATTTTAACTGGTACCACTGGTGACCATTTAAGTCTGTTGGTGTGCAGAGGAGAGAAATCAAATCTTGTACAAAATGAACAACAATCTAAGAAAATAAAAAAGTTTAATCAATAAAAAATAAGTCTGTTGATGTGTTGCTATTTCAAATAATATTTTAGTAACCACACTTGTAAATACAGTTTTATGTAAAAGAATGGAAATAAATGTACCAAAAATGGCCTAGAAACTAAATCACTAAATCAAAAAGGCTTTTAAGATTTGGATAGAGAGTCTAAATTGCCCTCCAAAAATTTGTATCTATCTGCAGTTCCATCACTGTGTATAAGGGTGTGTTTTCAACCAGGGGTTCACACCTGAAGGGTTTCCAAAGTTCCCAGTCTTTCTTGTCAGGTCAATAGAGTGGATAGTGTTTTCTTGTTTTTACATGCAGTTCTTTCTGTGTGAAGGTGAGTATCTTCTGTGTGATTCTACCTGTGTTTCTTTTTATTTGAATTGCCTTTCCAGGACCATTATCAGCTTTTCCTCCTGTGATGTTCATCTCTCTTTTATGCATCTTTAATAATGTTTTCAATATTAGGGAAATCCATTTTGGCTTATTTTAAATATATGTGCTATGAGTTAGAAATGATCTCATGCTGCCCAATTTTCAATGTTCAAGTAATTTTCTCTTTAGGACTGGATGTCTGAGGTCTTACTTCTGTGTGTGCCCTCACCTCTCTCAGGGGAGCCAGTCAACGGCCAGCTGGTGCCAGAAGGGAGGAGCCAGGAGGAGGGAGGAGAGGAGAGGAGCGAGGAGAAAGAAGATGTGCACCGGGGCACACCCGAAATATTCACCTCAGAATCAGCCCAAACCTTCCCAGTCAGGCCTCCAGATAGATTTCCTTCCCATCGACCAGATAATTTGGTGCCACCAGCACCACAGCCCCCTCGACGAAGCCGGGATCACAACTGGAAGCAGCTGGGGACAACAGAATGTTCCACAACCTGCGGGAAAGGTGGGCTTGGGTGATCTGCACGGGCCCCGCAGACCCCCACGAGGGATGGGTGGGTGGACCTGAGGGGCACAGCTGACCCTCACCTCCGTGAGCCTGGCTATGAGATGGCTCATTAGCATGATGGTGTGTGGGAGTAGGAGGGTTCCCCAAGATCACCCTCTGGCTCAATAGTCCTAGAAGGACTTACTAGGGTCAGAAAGGCTGTTCTGCTCCTGGTTACAGTTTGACACACGTTGACTCAGCAGAGGGAAAAGGCACACATGGCAAAGCCCGAGGAAACCAGGTGCCAGCTTCCTGCTGTCCTCTTCCTCTCCCCTACCCCAGCAGAGTTACATGGGGATGCACTTAATTCTCCCAGTACTGATGTGTGATAACAGAGCCAAGTGTTGCCAACTCAAGAAGCTCATTAAAGGGGTTTATCAGGGTTCAATCAGGTCGGCTTGCAGCCTGCATATAACTGACATGAGCTACTCAGCCTTCAGCAGCCAGACGTCAAGCTGATACATTCCTGCCCCATCTCTGCTTGGTCCCACGAATGTGTACACTTTGCAGCCTCTGTGCCTGGTGTCGTGCAAAGTGCAAAGCAGGCACTCAAGTGTTTCCTGAATGAATGGATGAATATATGTGCTGTACTCAGCTTTAGAAGAAATATAAGGGTGTTTTGACATCTTCATTTTATCCCAGATACGTAAGTCCATTATTGCCTCAACTCACGTTCAGTCTGAGGCATAAAGAATATGGATTTATGTATTCAAAACTGAAGAATATTTTTCCATATTTCCATATTATTTATTTTAATGTTCTAAGATAGTCTTTCTCCTTTGCATTGGGATACACAAAACACACACTCTTATTACATTATGAGGTTTGGGGGTTAACATCTTTAGTTTCCATTTTAAATACTTAAACCGTACACACCAAGAATGCGTGCAGACACGCATGCAGCACACAGCATCTACTGCTCAGATCCCTGAGATGATATGTCCCCACCCTTATTAATCCTGACAAACATAAATGGCACTGGTTCTCAAGCCAAAAGGATACCGAGGCTATACCTTAAAAATAAAACAGAAACTAAGATTTATCTGGTTCCCCTACATCTCCCTTCTCTTGTAATCCTGGCCTTTTATGCTTCTTCCACATGACCAATGGCAGCAGCCCATGGACATCCTTCCTTTGCTCCCTCTAAGGTCTGTTCCCAGGCCATGGTGGCCTCAGACATGCAGGGCAGGTGACTCACACCTGGTTAGCACATCTCAGGGTTGTCAGCCATTTTGACAAGTGCGCCATGACCAAGAAATCCCTGCTGGTGCTGCCCCACTCCTCTATGTCTAGTCCAAGTCCATTCCTCTTGCATCCTCAACATTTGCCCCCACACAAACCCTCTCCCAAACTCTGCTCTGGTACTTCCTGGTGGGGCTAGGCAGACACATTTCTATGCCTCTTGCATTAAAATGTCCCATTTCTTCATGCTTTGGGATTCACGATGTCATTATAGGGAGGCGCCAATACTTTATCCAGTGATTGCACAGACTCTATGTCTAGCTGGTCATGTGTCGCTTAGTTTATTCTTGGAGTTCCTAGACTAGAATTATTAATCTTATTAATCTTATCAGCAGTACCTGTGGTGCTGCTCTCTCCTCCAACATGATGTTCTTCTGCTTAGATCAAGATGCACAAAATACAACCTAACCCAAAAGATCTCAGATTTTTCCTTCTGTCTAAAGCCCAGCCAGCACCTGACCTCACCACCATGTGTTGGCCTATCAGCAATTAGAGAAACAACTGAGTGGCGTGCTTGGACAAAGAAAAGGTGGCTATCGCCCTTTCTGCAGAAAAGAAACTGATTTCAAGAACGAAATCATTCCAGCACTAGAGTCAGCAATTACAGATTTGGTATTTTCTTACCATGAGAGAGAGAGAAAAAAATTATAATTTCATTATTTCCTTGGCTGAACACTGGAGCTGGGCCATGGGCGGGGTGGGGAAAGGCAGGCAGTGGCTTTGCACAAACAACCCCAAGCAGAACCCATCTTCCCAAGGCACAGAACATTCTTGTGCTAACCCATATCTTTTTAACTGAAGAAGTTAAATCTCCCTTCATTTGAGTGCCGAGAGGTTGGAGTAGTTACTTTTGCTTTCCAGTGCAAAATCTTGTATGTAGAAAAGTTAAACCCACATGGTCTAAAGGGAGAAGGATCAGCTAAATTATCAGACATTTTTACTTAATCCCTTCATGGTTGGGTGCCTAATGGGTACTCTTCAAGCTGTGAACTGAATTTCATTCATCTTTCACAAAGTATTTACTGTTTTCTGAATTCAAAGTCTCTTCTTCATGGAAACAGATCTGTCGCTGGGCAAAATTTAATTCCAGAGAAGTTTTTGCTTCCAATGAATTTTACACTCTGTACTGCTTTTTTACTCAGTTAATAATAATGCCTAATTGGAATGTTATTTTAAATAATGATCTTAATTTATAGCTGACATTGTACATTTTGACTGCCAGCATGGTTTAAACAAGTGATCATTTCAGATTCAAAGCTGTTTTACAAACTGTCAAATTTCTTGTAAGAACTACCCTCTGGCTCAGTGTGTCACACAAAATTAGCTTAAAGATGCAGCCGCTTTGTGGCTGATGAAATATTGAGACAATTATATTAGAAGTTATTCCTCCAGTTACAATTAAAATTGTAGCAACTTGGAGGTTCAGAAACGTAACTCCCTGGCCAATTATCAGTAGAGCTGTGGCAGAGTTGTAGAATGATGATAGTGTTCTACCCAGTAGGATTGTGTGGCGGCCTCAGCTAGCAGGCTGGTGAGGGGGCAACGGTGTAAGTCATTGTCTGGGAAGGATCATCTTAGGGTTCAGACAGTTGAACTGCAGCATCCAAGAGTTTCCTTTCTCACTTTGTAAACGTCCATTAGTAATACTTCAGTGCAGCCACCAGAGGGTAGCAGAGAGAGGACTTAGATACCATTTTCTTAGAGGAGTATGTAAGATGATTTACAAAGGGCAAAACCTTTCTTGAAGCTTCTTACTAGTCTGCTCCAACCTCACTATCTCTTAAATATACCTGTAGCCCTCAGGTGAGCTTGTTGTGACCTCTATTCCAATGTGGCATCCTGGGCAGCCATGCACACACACACAACACTGATGCACGCATCTACCCAAACTCAGCTCTTCCTCAAAGATGCGGCTTAATCCCCCGGACTGTCTCTGTTTCCTATCTCCAGAAAACCTTCAAGAAGTTATTTTGTGTGTGCATTTTATACTACTCCCCTACTAGTATTATCTCTTGTTGTCTTGAGCTGCTATGAAAATTGTTCTTATCTGCCTTTGAACACATACAAACTGTATCCACAAATTGATTTAAGTTCTTGGAGGACAGGAACTATTCCTACCCTCCTTGGCACTCCACAGTGCCTTGCAAAGCCCTTGTGTGGGAGGTGTGAGTGTGTGAGTTGTTCTGTTTCTGGGGTCTTTCTTTGTCAGCACAAGTAGCCAGTCCATCTCCACCGTAGTCTGATGTCAAGTGTATGGGGCTATCCTTCACATTCTCCTTGTCCTTGCAGGATCACAGCACCCTATTTTTCGCTGTGTGCACAGAAACACTCATGAAGAGGTTCCTGAGAGCTACTGTGACTCCAGCATGAAGCCTACGCCTGAGGAGGAAGCCTGCAACATCTTTCCCTGTCCAGCCTTGTAAGCTAGCCCCTCTCTCTAGTCCCCCATTGGGTCTCCCTTGTGACTTGTGCACAGAACCTTAGCAGCAGAGATAGCCTTGTTTTTAAATCAGTCTCGGCCTGCTTTAGGAACAGGAGACTTGGCCTGTGCATAAAATTCAGTCTGTGTGGCCAGCACCCTTGGTTCTCTGGATTGACACAGGAGCCCATGGCTTTAGGAGGTCTGGGCACTCCCTGGAAGACTACCCGTTGATAAATTTGGAGCAATTAGGACTTAGCCTGGTAAAGAAAACAAAGAGGGAAACAGAACTGTCATCTAGCATGTCCATGCTGTCAGTGCCCATGGAGAGAATAACGCACAAATACCTCTGCCTGGAGGCACCGGGAAATGTGTCCCAGGAGACGCTGAATGATAAATAGGGAACTTCCAGAAGGACAGGGGCAAATGGCCTTAAAAACTTTTAAATGTAACTTTCAAAATCATTAAAAGATCATTTTCATCCAAATACATGATGACCATGTGCCAATGTCTTATTTAACTCAAGACACAGGATGGCAGAGGAAGGTGTCAACTGATACATAAATAGTTGATGAAAGATAAAGAATACTGGAATAAAATTTCAAAGTGAGTTCCAAAGTGGGTTAATTCTACAGGGTAATAAAACAAACCATGGAGGAGAGGTGTGGGGGGTGGGGTGTGAGTGACTAGATAAAAATCATTTGGAACTTCTTGGTTTTCTATAGTTTTACAGAATCTGGTCTTTCATCAATGGTAAAGGGAATGTGAAACAAAGTTACCTTCTTTCTCAGTCCGAGGGCCCGTGGGCACATTCGGGACAAGGGGTCAGCCGTCACCATCGTGCTAGTTCTGTGGCGGCTGGTTCAGGCTCATGTTCCTTCATGTTGACTGAGGTGCTCTGTCCTTTCCCTCTCTCCTTCCTGAGCCAGCTGGGACATCGGGGAGTGGTCTGAGTGCAGCAAAACCTGTGGCCTGGGCATTCAGCATCGCCAGGTACTGTGCCGCCAGGTGTACGCCAACCGCAGCCTGACAGTGCAGCCCCACCGCTGCCAGCACCTGGAGAAGCCCGAGACCACCAGCACCTGCCAGCTCAAGATCTGCAGTGAATGGCAGATCCGGACCGACTGGACCTCGGTACGCAGGGTGGGACAGCTTGCCTGCCACCTCCCGCCACTAAGCCCTGCCGCTGGAGAAGCTGAGCTTTCCAGGAGGGAATTCATCCTGGGGTTTTCTGGACGGCTGTTTTTGCAGACCATGGGGTGTTCCAGACATTAGGGGGTGTGAGTCACCACGGCCAACTTTGAGGGTGTATGGTAGGGACTGGGCACTGCTGGCAGAGCCCCCGCATCCCCATCTTGCTCTCCCATTTTATAGATGTTAGAACTGAGGCTCAGAGGAACAAAGTAGGCAAGGCAGCCAAGGAAGCCTTTGAGGAAATGGTGGGGAGGTTCTCAGGGTTGGGAAACTTGCCAGGTAGCCTTGGCTGCAGGGACCCTGCATGTGGGGTTGGGGTGGTCTCACCGGTGGCAGGTAGCAAGGACGCGGCACATAGCTGGAGAGTCCCTGGACTAGAGGCGTTCCTGAGGTCCGCTTGCTGTGTTCCAGTGCTCAGTGCCCTGCGGAGTGGGGCAGAGGACCCGAGACGTGAAGTGTGTGAGCAACCTCGGGGATGTGGTTGATGACGACGAGTGCAACATGAAGCTCCGGCCGAACGACATTGAGAACTGCGACATGGGACCCTGTGCCAAGAGCTGGTTCCTCACCGAGTGGAGTGAAAGGGTGAGGTGGCAGCGGCAGAGCGGGTTTTCTGGAGCCAGGACCGAGGTGTGCTGGCCTACAGGGCGGGAGCTGTACACGGAATCACTGGCTAAGAATCCCACGGGCAACAGCTGAATTTGGGGGAAAGGCCCAGAGAAGAACCACTATAGGTTTTCTGTCTTCATATAAAGACTGAGGTGCCCCAAAAGTAACAAGTGGGTGTGAAATAATTGCGTTAATTCTCCTTAGCGCTGCTCATGACTGCTGAATAAAAATACTAACAACAGAACAATCAGATGCCAGGTTTGCTGAGTGTGGGCATCTATAATGTGTACTCAGCGAATGGTAGGTCCCGTCTCTGTTCTTACTAATCCAAAGCATTTCACTTACTGTCTCCTGCCTGCAGCCTGATCACCTTTGGGTCCACGGGTTCAGTTGTCAAAGATGAACTCAAATGCATTATAGTTCGTAATTATCCCACCAGCTACCTGTATGCAAGGGAAGCCATGAAGAGTTAGCTCATCTAAGACAAAAGGAGTTGTGTAAGGAGAGAGGGATTCTGGACTTGCCTGGTGGGGAGGTTCAACAGTATTGATGTACTTAATGTCACTGAATTACACACTTAGAAAGATTAAAGTGGTAAATTTTACATTATGTATAGTTTGCCATAATTTTTTAAAAGAACATTTAGGGGGAAATATTAGGCAAAATTAAAGAGCATACCTGAAACCAGGGGAAAGGAGCTTTGCCTTCCTTTTCTTATGGAAACTGATGACCAGCTAGCAGCAGAAAAAGGTGACCAGGCAGCTGGACTGGTCATCATACTACGTTTCAGTTTTCTGGATTCACTAGTAGGTCCTGGAAACTTAACTGGATTATACATACCATTGCTGTCTCTGTCCCTAGGGCCTCCCTCTCAGGCAACCTCTGTACCACGTCCCTTGTTGGGATTCCTTATGGTGTTTCCAAACTATAATGTGCCTGCAGATCACCTGGGAACCTGGTGACAGTGCAGGACCTGAGTCAGTGCTGGGGGAGCCAGGGAGATTCTGCATTTCTAACAGGCTCCCTCCCGGTGGCAGCACTGAGGCCTCTGGCCCAAAGATACAGGAGACCAGCTAAGTTAATAAAACCATAGGAGCCTTTACTGAGCTAGTGAACTGTCCTCCCCCAGCATCCTGTGAACAACAGTGCAACATCTCAAGTTTAGAGGAACAAACTCTCAGGCATCAGCAGATTTGCATCCATACCACTTTGATGGTTGCGTCTGATTGGTCAGCATCCATTTGACTGGTCATGGCCTACCAGGGACGATTGTTGAGTTCTCTGAATATCATCCCTGCAAGTGTTTCCAGGGGTCTCCATTACCTCTGCTTTGTAAGATGGTCCTTGATTTCATCCCTCTCCACGCCATAATAATCCATGCCTGTGGAATAAGGGATGGAGGAAAAATATACCTGCAAACACAGCCTTTGCACTATCCTCAGAGGTCTCCTGGAGATTCTCACTAATACTGTCTCGCCTTCATGTCATCGTATAGTCAAACCCTCATAAGTCAGGGGCTCTCCATAGTGATTTAGCTGTGATGCTCAACACCTCATGGCATCAGCCCTGCCCCTCAGCCCAAGTCTGTCCCCAGATAGGAAACCCTTGGCACAGACACTGAAATCACAGTGATCACACTTGTGCCTCCAATCCCAGGAGTGGACAGTCAGGGGCGCCACATTAGCCATCAGGAAGAAGCCAACCCAAGGGAGACAAAGGGGAAGTGAGTGCTGACCTAAAGCTGAGTCCAGACTTCTGCCCCTAAAGCTGAGTCCAGCAGAGCTCACCCAGTTCTGCCAGCGTGACCCTTTCCAAGTCTCCACACATGCATGAGCTTGTCATCCCTGGCTTAGGCCTGATTGCTTTGTCACAAGGTCACCGTCAGGCAAGTACATGTATTTCTTGTACAATCCTTGGTGTCAGAAGTTTTCCTCCTCCGTTCAACCAAAGAACCAAAGTGCCCCTTGCTCCCACTGTATCCCAAAGAAAATTCCAGTGTTCTCTTCTCCTTACATGCTTGCCCCCACAGTTTTGGGGACAGCCCTTCTCCAGGTTAAAAGTTCCTGGCAACTTCCACTAATTCTTTCTTGTTTCTGGACTTCTTGCCATCCCTGAACTCATTTATGTTCACAGTAAACTCAACAAATTTAGAGTATAAGCAAGTGAATGGAAAGAATGATGCTGGGTTTTCAGTTTTATATTGGAAAGATTCTTATTAAATACTGTTCATTTTTTTTCTAGTTGCAAAGCAACATGCTATTATAAAAAAAATATGAAAAAAACAATTTTAATTATAAGTTTTCACTAAAAGATAGCAATTTTAAGATTTTTAAGCTATAATACCAAACTTTTTTTCTACCATTCCATGCATACTTTAAATACATAGTTTTTGTGTGTGTGCCAAGATATATTCTAAGGCTGTAAATAATAATAGATGTAAAATTTGGTAACCTTGTTTTTCACTTGTATATTATAAACATTTTATTGGCATTTAAAAATTTAATTAGAATAAGCTATTATATGACTACTACCAATGAACGGTGTTTTTTCTTTCTTATTAATTTAAATATTTCCATTAATATTCCTATGCATAAATCTTTATATGTATCTTTTCTTGATTCCCTAAAATAATGCCAGGAATTGAAATTATTTGACAAAATGGTGTGAACTCTTTCAGAACCCTTGATACAATTTGGCAAATTTTTATCGAGAGATTATTTCAACTCTGAGTCTCCCAGTCAGCTTCAACAACACCTGATTTCCAAGGATGTTTTTCCAAGAGAAGACATAAGTAATGACACTGAGCTTTTTAAGTCATAGAAGATAATGCCTACAGTTCCAAAATAGTCTTTTCAGATAAGAGCCTAATAATCCCTCAGGGGCCAGTTGGGCCTCGGTTAGCATTTAACAGTTGCTGGACTAAGGAGAGTGTCCTCAACAAGGGTCACTTAGGAATTTCATTCTTACTGCATTTTGTCAGCCCAGAAGTTCAGTTAGGAGACAGGCCCTTTTCTGACTACTGAAGTGGATTTGGTTCTTGTGGGCACGTCCTTCAAGGACAGCGGGTACCCGCTTTCATGTTGTGCTTTCCACTGCAGGTGGTGTGAGAAGGTGGCACCCCTGAGCAGGGCCCATCCTGGTGAGGTTTTCTGTCCTTAGGAATGTCCCGAACATTCTTCTGAATTAAGCACGTGGGGACATGGGGAAAGCCAGATGTGTGTACATTAGTTGGTTTGGAAAGCAGAAAATTAAGTTAGCTCGTCAGTGGAAATGGGGTTAGGACTTGAAACACAAAGAAAACTTAGATTTGATTTACCTTGTGTGATTGAGAGAAATTTAAATATCTTGAGTTTTAAAGTTAAGAAAGAGATCTGATAATATGGTACATGGCTGAAACAACCACCAACCCTTTATCTTAGAATATTCCAATTATTTTAACAAAGGATTTTGTAACCTAAGGGGCTGATTCATTGTCTCAGATTTCAACTAATTATGCACATGCAGCTCAACTCAGTAATGCTTTTTTTTTTTTTTTTTTTTTTTTTTTTTTTTTTTTAGGTATTATTTTATTTAATTTTTAAAAAGATTTTTATTTTTTTATTTTTTATTTTTTTTTTTTTTATAAATTTTATTGTTATATTCCCCATACAATTGCAGCCCCCCATTCTGACTATAAAAGAGATAAAAACTTTCCTCTGCCGTCTTAGGAGAGGTAATGCATGCCGGCAGATTAAGCTGACAAAATCCAGGTTCAGAGGAGAAAAGCATACAAATTTTATTTGATGTTAATTTTTTCACATGGCTCAGGGGACTTCATAGGAAAGAAGTAATTAAACTCCAGGGCTTATATATCATTTTAACAAACGGGGATAATTGGTGAGAACTACACAAAGGAAAAGCCTTGGGTCCTGGGACAGTAAATGGTAGGAAAGTGGCCAAGAATTATAAAGGCAAAACTAGTAGAATAAGGGTTATTTTAAGATTTGTGCAGATTTATCTTGGTGTCAACTCCCTATCTCCAGTGGTAAAGGTAAAGTACCTTCCTGGTACTCAGAGGACACCCTTCACGTGGGAAATGTGTGCTCTGCATTTACATAGGAAAGGGGAAGGGGTGGGCAGAGATGCCTTCTGGCATCTGCTATTTCTCAGTTGCCTGCAGCTCAAAATAATCAATATGCTAAAGCTGCACATTTGGGGGGTGGCATGATCTAAGGCCCTTCAAGCTCTTTGCTCCAGAGAGCTTCCTCCCTAAGGAGTCAAACCCACTCAGCTGTGGTCATGTAAACCTTTGATTAATCATCCTGAACTACAGTTTTAAAAGACTAGACACAAAAATGGAAACTTTGATATGGAAATGGGTTGTGAATATGTTTTGCCTTTTGTTTGTTTCTAGATTTTTACATCATTTTTCATTTTTGCACGTGTCATTTTCATCTTGGTTATAGTCCCCATACAATTCCCAGCCCCCTTGTTTTGATCCTACTCCCTCCACCCCCCCTGTAGTGTCTCTGGTTTATAGTTGCTTGTTGATTTTGATATTTACTTTATAATACCTAGTATTTTCCCTTTTAAAGAGAAGATCCAGCAGAAGCCCTTAGAAAGTGCTCTAAAGGGCCACTTTCAGAAGAGACCGGTACTGGTGAGAGAGGAGAAATGAGCGAGGGTGGGCCCAAGTCTTAATACATTTATTCAACTGATGTGCATGGATTTACCCATCATTAAGGGGCTGGCCTGAAAAAGTATTAAAGATGATTTAATAGTCCTTGCCCACACGGAGCCTGCATCTATCAAGAAAACCAGACAGGATACAAATGGCTATAATACAAAGGAAGATAGCAGAATATAGAGTGCGTGAGAATTCTGAGCCTGGAAAGAGTATATTGAATCAGGCAATCAAGAAAGCCTTCACAGAGGAGATGGCATTTGAACTAAGTCTCACAGGATTTTTCAAAGTCCCGGGGAAAGGAAAAGCACCCCAGGCTGAAGGAATGAAACAGGCAAAGCATTATGATCACTTCATGTGATTAGGGCATGAGTCCTAGCTCTGTCCAGCCTGAGATGTGTGGAGTAGGATAACAGGAAATTAGTCTGGAAGAATGAATAGACAGGGCCTCCCGGGTGGCGCAGAGGGTTGAGCGCAGCACTGTGAAGCTGTCTGCAGGCTCTGCAGTGCGGGTTCGATTCCCAGCCAGCCAGGGAGATACCCACATGGCACGGCAGACCTCTCCTGTCTTGCCTGCTGCTCCCCTCAGCAGTGTATTTCGGTCAGTCTGCCTGTTCTGCTCCCCGCTCTGTCTCTGGTGAATCCTCTCACCTCCCATGACTCTGGCCTATACCCCAGCTATTGTATAAATAAAAAATAAATCTTAAAAAAATAAATAAATTACAGGTTTTTAAAAAAAAAAATGAATAGACAGCAGCCACATTACAGTAAACCATTAATGCCAGTTGAGTATGCCCATGTGTGAATTTTATTGGAACAGGATAACATTAGAGGGATTCTCAAAATGGAGTTCCCAGCTCCTGGAAGCCCAGTTGGTGAGACTGAGCAAAAAGCTCTGAGCACAGTGTGGGAGACGAACATCAAGGATGTTAGGAGTCATGGGAAGGAAGGGACAAGACAGATGAGAGGAATGTGGTTAGGCTCATATCTATAAGACCTGATGGTTGGCTAGAGTTTGACAGCAAGAAGGCAGAAGAGCAATCAACTTTTGAGTCCAAATGTAAAATCTGGAAACTCTAAAGGAGGAATAGAAATGGGGTTGAAGGTGTTGTCCACTATTGTATGTGAGGTATCTGAGGACCTCCCAGATGAAGATTCCAGAAAATATAGGATGAGAAGCAAAATAAGGCAACATTCCAAAAGTGTTTCAGAACAGATGGAAATGCTCTATGAGCTTTGGAGTTGACTCAGGAATGTGTTTACTCTGCCCTGGGTGAAGACAGATGATGGCTGTGGTAGAGAAATCACTAACAGTTTTGTGACTTTGAGTTAAGAGCCTGCTGGCGTGTCTGGGTCCCAGGTCAATCTCTCCGTTGTACCAAGCTGCCTCCCAGTATTCTCACAGCTATAAACATCAACGACCAGGACACATCTACCTTAGTAGTAGGCAGCAATGTTGAGGTGACTGACTTAATTCCCCTCCTCTTCTTGACTAACCCAGACTCAGCTTCTCGCAGGTAAACATTTGCCCACATTTTCATGTCCTCATTTTTCTGCTGTGGATCTATTTTTGAAAGCAATAGCCAGGGCAGAGCATCTGATAAGTAATGGGACAGAATGTTTGGAATGCAGGCTGTCCTGGAAAGTCTAAGATGGAGATTTGCCATAGTGGCGTAGTCATGAATGAAGGTGTTGAGCGATTTCTAGGAGGAAGAGTTGGTAGGGGCACCAGATGCTAGATACTCCTTCGAATTATTTGAAAATGGCTTCAGAACCTGTGGGATCGCCCTTTCTTCTAACATGACTTCTTCTGTCCCCAGTGCTCAGCGGAGTGTGGGGCTGGAGTGCGGACTCGTTCAGTGGTATGCATGACCAACCATGTCAGCAGCCTGCCCCTGGAGGGCTGTGGGAACAACCGACCCGCGGAGGCCACCCCGTGTGACAACGGGCCCTGCACAGGCAAGGTGGAGTGGTTTGCGGGGAGCTGGAGTCAGGTGAGCAGCCAGAATGGAGTGTGCCTGTTTGTTCCCATAAGAGGCAACAGAGCAGAGGGGTTAGCGACAAGGACCTGGTGTGTCCAGAGGTCCCAGGTTTGAGTCCCGGTTATTCCACTGGCTACCTAAGACCTTGGGGAGCCTACTCTGCTCTTGCAGCCTCATTCAGGCACCACTACTGAGTACCTCCTGTCTAAGCACTAGGGATAGATCTGTAAACAAAACAGATATCCCTGCCCTCAGGGAGCTTATGTTCTAGGTTGGTTTCCTTGTCTAGAGAATGCAGGTAATGACGGTAACTTAAGACATTATTTTTAGAAGAAATGAAGTAATGTGCATAAAGTATGTAGCACAGTGATTAGGAGGTAATAAACATACAATAAATCATAGCTGCTGCTGCTATTAAAACCACTTTTTGTACCTATTTGAGTGTGAAAAGCAGAAATAGATATGATCCAGCATATCTGGGGTGTATAGCCAAAGAAACCAAAATCATTATCTTCAAAGAGATGTCTGCATTTATCCATGTCCACTGCAGCCACAGTGTGGAAACAGCCAAAGTGTCCATCAACCCATGAACAGATGAATGAATAAAAAAATGTTATATATAATTAAAATATATATTAATTATATATTAGTGGAACAGTATTCAGTTCTAAAAAAATGAAGGAAATCCTTCCACTCGTGACAATGTGCGTGGACACAGAGGGCATTAGGCTAAGTGAAATAAGCCAGATGGAGAAAAAAACAAATACTGCGTGTTTTCACTTATGTAGAATCTTAAAAATAAAACCAAACTCAGAGAGCAGAATGGTGATTGTCAGAGCCAGGGGCGGGAGAGTTGGGAGGAGGGGAGATAAGAGAGGTTGATAAAAAGATACAGTATTTCAGTTATCAAAGGAATAAGTACTGAGAATCAAATGTGTACCATGGGGACTATAGTTTATAACTCTGTATTGTATAATTGAAGTGTGCTAAAAGAGTAGGACTCCAGTGTTCACACACATACACATAATATATAATGAGATGGATGTGTTCACTAACTCAATTGTTAGAATTCTTTTATAATGTACGTGTATATTGAATCTTCATGTGTACATCTTAAATATATTGCAATTTTATGTGCTTGTTATACCTCAACAAAGCTGCGGGCAACAGGAATAGATGCAGACATTTTTAAAGTTGAAGTTGTTCACTATAAAGAACAGACAATACCAAATACTTTGTTGTAGTAACTCATTTGAACAATTAATTTGTTTCCTTACTGTTCTAAAAGTGACCATGAACCCCTTAGGAAAATATGGAAAAGATGATTCTGTCATATTGCCCTGCTAGGATTACCATCAACAGTTTGAGGTCTTGCTCCGCTTACTACACATTTGGCTCCCAGGACTGGCTGGTTCTCCAAGGACTTTTTTGGCTGATGATCATGATTTACACATTATCAAGACCTCTGGCTCCATATAGAATTTTATTTCTTTTAAATAGCTTTAAAGACAGCCCTTAAAAAAACAGACTGCCTTGTCCTTGTAAACTGATATACCCCCTTTGGAAAGCAATTTGACAATAAAAGTCAAGAACCATAAAAATGTTCATTTGCCTTAACCCAGTCACCCCACCCTGGAAATAAATAAGGAAATTAAGAAAGGGGGAAAAGGGCTTTCAACAGAGATGTCCATGACAGGGCATCATTAGGGACATCACAGCCCATCATAACTCATTATGACATTAGGTGACAATAGTGGTGATTAGGGAGATGTGGGAAGTTCATGTGATAGAATGGCAAGTGGAGAGCGGAATGTGGAAATATATGAACCCTGTGATCTCAGCACTTCAAAGTGCAGGTTTTTATATAAACAACATGGGGGCAATGTTTTCTTCTCAAATTTCCTTTAATGTTTTTATAATACTAACTGTGAAATACAGGAAAAAAAAATGTTTAAAAGGAGAATTCAAGTGCTTCCAGTGCTCGTAGACAACAGTTAGCCTGGCATAACTGATCCCAGGCCTGCTTCTCCACTTCTTCAGTTCTCTGATTTGGGGCAAGTAATTTAACCTCTCTGAGCCTACTTACTATTAAATATGGAGATAATAATACCAATTTGCTAAGGTTACTTTTGAATTCATGCGATGCTATCACAAAGGGATTACCCATTGGAGCTCGCTGGTGGTGGAAGTGGTAAGCATCAGTGCTATGAGGCTTTCAGCAGCCACTGCAGCACAAGTTCTATCCCCAGCCAGGGAGGTGACCAACATGGCGCAGCAGACCTCTCCTAACAAAGGGGTTATCCATTGCTTCAGATGCTGAAAGTGCTTAAATAATAGTTCCTTTTTCTCCTTGTTTATTATTTTCTATCTCATTGTTGGTAATAAAACACATAAGACCTAAACCCCAAAGATAATACAAAAGTGCCCTGCATATGGGGCCCCCATTGCAACAAATATCCATGGAAACTGAGGCAATGGGACAGACCCACTGCCTTCATACAGTAAAGTGCAGTTTAACTCAAGTGTCTCCCAACCTCAGAGAGGAGAGGAGAGCAGGATTCAAGAGCCTTTTTTGCCTGCAGGCCTCCTATTGACTATAAAAGTAAGCTCAGACACCTGAAAGTAATGTGAACCCTGGAGAGCAGCATTTATTTCTGCTACCATTAGAAATGTGAAATTTATTGTCCTGCTGCCCAGAAGGTCGAGGACATGATCAAAGGTGGACATGGTGTTGGTTTGGGATTTATAAGTCAGTCAGAAGGCAATATAAATGTGGCACCTCACCACCCTGAAAATTTTACATTATCCACCCCCCTGCAAAATGAAATAGAGTGTGCCTATTTATTAAAAAGTAAGTCTTACATACTAACTGACTACAGAGTCTTAAAATAAATGTTTCTCCCAGCTATGGGGTTTAAATAAAAGTTGATACCCCAGCAGCCTGGAATTAGTTCAGGGAGACATGTGACCCAGTCTGAGCCAAACAGAGTCCTTCCTGGGACTTCTAGTGTGGACATGAGAGAAGGGGCTCCTGGGGAGATGTGAGCACAGGTCCTAGCAGTGAGCAAAGTGAGGTCCTGGGTGAAAGCCAGCATGAGAGAATAAGACCTGTCAGACTTAGAGAGTCTTCAATTCTTGGAGGCAAAGTAGCCCAACTTTCATTCGGACAGTACTGTACCAAGTCTATTATTCGTGCCTACATGTTTGCCTTCCTCCCTGTCAACTCTGGGTTTACTTCACCCTAAGCTTGTCTTGGTTCTGGGGCCTCTTTTACAGCCTCTAGTGACCCAGAGCTGCCCTCCTGCCTGCTCTGCCTCAGTGTCACATTTATCCTCACTGACACTGAGCAGACACCACCAGTCTCATCTGGCCTTGGGCTCCCCAAGTGCAAGGGCAGCAATTCTTTGAGTGTAGAAACACATAATTGCTGTCAATTCTCAGGAGGAACAATCATCCTCTTTAATACCACTTTCTGTCTTCACTGCTTTCCTCCATGAATTACATTTCATCTCATATTTGCCTTATTCTGATTTCTCACTGTCGATTTCCACCTTGTATATCTTTGCCAACTTCATATGTGTTTTTTAAGATAGCTTTTGTATGCAAGCTTATTTTTGCCTTTCCTCCTCCCCGCCCCCCATTTGCAAGTCTCTTTTTTAGAGTTAAATTTTGACCATTCATATTTATGATAATCGCTTACACGTTTGGACTTTCTCCTGTCATCTTATTTTGTATTTCATCATATTTAGTTTTCTACTACCATGTCTTCTTGTTTTTCTCCCCTTTTCCTTTTACATGTTTTTATTTGTCAGCTTTCCTTAATCCCATTTTCCCCTTTAACATTTTGGAGGTTATAAATCTTATTTTTATTCATCTAGTTATAACACTAAAACTTTTACAGAGTTTTAAACTTCCATGGTTCTGTCAGTGTCATCAGTAATCATGTCCTCACTGGGGAAAAAGCAGACCCTTTTTATTTACTTCCACTCTTTCACCCTACAGTCCCTCCAAAAAGATGTTGAGATCATCTGGGTTTAGTGCCATATTAATGTTAATTAATTTTATAGAAAATATAGACTTGCGTTTTAAAATAGGTTTCTCTCCTCCAAAAGTCATCTTTAATTGAAATATTCAAATATCATAAAATTTACCCTTTGAAAGTATACTATTAGGTGATCTTTAGTATATTCACAGCAACCATCACCACTGTCTAATTCCAGAACACTGTCAACATCCAAAAAAAAAAACACTGATTTATTATTTTTTTTTAAATGTTGGCATCTGTTTTTAAATTTTTTTTTTAAGATTTATTTATTTATTTATACAAGGACTGGGTATAGTCAGAAGCACGGGAGGGTGAGAGAATTCACCAGAGCCAGAGCAGGGAGCAGAATAGGCAGAAGGACCGAAGTACACTGCTGAGGGGAGCAGCGGGCACAACAGGAGAGGTCTGCGCGCCACGTGGGACCCTCCTCCGGTGTCCGGGGAACAGCTGGGGATCGAACCAGCACTGCAGAGGCTGAGGGCAGCTTCGCAACCCAGCGCTCAACTGCTGCGCCACCGGGGAGGCCCAACACTGATTTATTATTAACAATAAGTTTACTGGTGTCTTTACCAACCTGTGTTTTTGTGCCCTGTGTCTCTTTCCTGGTTCTTTTTCATTCCATTCAAGAATATAACCCAGTAAGGCTTTGAAAGGGGATTTGTAAAAGGTACATTTTCAGATGGCCCTTGACTATCTGAAAATGTCTCACTGCCCTTTGACATTAGTGCCCCAGCAGATGCGGATGCCTTGGCTCCTTCCCCAGCTCTGTCAGGTCTGTATCTTAACTGATCACTGCCTCATTGTCCCCAGGCCTCCCCCCTCATCCACACGTCTACCACCATTCTCATCCAAAGCCCATAAGCTAATTTCTCTGGAGCCCTCCTCTGTGTGCATCTTGAACTGTGGTTTTCTCCTTCAATTGAATCTCCTCTATATTCCACCATTCAGAGATTCCCCATAAGCTCTGATGCTCCAAGGACGAGTGTCCTTTCCTGTTTTCAGTGCTGTCCTCTGCACACACATATACCCCGACGCACATCCACCTGCTTGTCCCCACTCACATGTTCTGCCACTTCTGGGTGTTCAGATTAGAAGAAGAATGAGATATGCACCTTATAGCGTCAGCTGCTTTACAAATATAGCATAACATAATGTCAGGTTTTCGACAAGCTTTGCAGTCTGCACACTCGGGAAATGAATTCTTCCCAGTCTCTACCCCGCTAAGAGACCACCAGATAAACCAAAATGTTAGTTGGTTGCTTTACAGTGAGAGGTGTCAGAGTCTACTGGACAGAAACAACCAAATTAACTGGCTGGTGTGTTCCTGTGGAAGAACTTGAAGGAAGCCATTTTACTCCAGCATGGTGGGCACCCCCACCACAGTGGACAGCACCCTCGTAGAGCTGTGCTATCAAAAGACACCCACTCCATTTCTTAGACAGAACTGTTAGGAAAGTTAGAACCATGTGCAACTTCTCCAGAAATGTTTTCCAAGGGCCCTAGGGCTCTTCCTTACTGAGTTGATGGCATAAAGCACCTATAAACACCCCTCATTGGACAATACTTATCCCCTTTGTATCACATGATGCCATCATTCTCCGTTTCTTTCTCCAGTGTTCCATCGAGTGTGGGAGTGGGACCCAACAGAGAGAGGTGATTTGTGTTAGGAAGAACGCAGACAACTTCGAAGTACTGGACCCTTATGAATGTTCCTTCCTGGAGAGACCCCCCAGCCAGCAGTCCTGCTACCTCAAGCCTTGCGGGGCCAAGTGGTTTAACACAGAATGGAGCATGGTAAGTCTGAGAACTTTTCAGAAAGTTGCATTAACACATCATCCTGTTTCCTCCCACAGTCACTTCTGGGTTACATACAGCCAGGACAGGGCTCAGCCCTCAAGTAGATTCTCTGCAGTGCTTCCCTTGACTTAGTCAATGTTGGGTCACCCCTGGACTCAGCCTGCTTGGTAGTGGGAGGGAGGGGATCCTGAGCCTGAGGCTGGGAGGATCTGATCTCTTAATTATAGAGACTCTAACAAGTGACTTTTCATTTACATACTAATATAAATGTATCATGTAATGTAGCATGTAAAATTATATGCTAATATAAATGAAAGGTCAGAAATTTAGCTTGTAAATGCAAAGTCAGAAATAAACAGAGATGGTGATAAATACAAAAACAGAGAATTAAGGAAAAAAGTGTGAAATGATGGAAATAGTAACAAAATTCTCTTATTTTTCAAGTAGGAGAGTTTATTTGGAATAAACTTCCTAACATAGGAAACCACTCAGGCATCACTCCCAGAGACCATTTAACATACCTCAGGTTGGAGGTGGGGGACCCGTGGGAGGCAGGTTCACTCACTTTTTGTCACTGATGGTTGTCAAGTCAAGGATGTAGGTGAGTCCAGAGTAGAGGCCAAAGCCTAATTCAAAGGTGATTCAGGGAACGTTGCTTACAAAACATGTGACTGCAAGCTGAGGATTCTGTTCCCAGACTATGTCTGGGCCAGTGATAACATCTCTTGGGCATGTGGTGAACTACATCTCAAAGGCAAATGGGATCAAGGTATTGAGTTTGAAGGGTGTTCTCTTACCTTCTGGGAAATGGAATTGACTCTTTTGAGGTTGGCCAAGGTCCTTGAGATTGCAAACACAGCTCACTACTTTCCTTTGCCATTTGGTTTGGAGATTCTAGAAAGGGCCAAGTTCACCTAACCAGGTCAAAGGTGATAACTTCCTAAATTACCTGACCGGAAGCAAGCCAGATAATCCTCAGCAGGTCAGTGGAGAACAGACGGGTATGGCCAAGCAACAAATACCACTGGGCAAGAAGAATGAGTGAACTACAGATCCCTCCAACGATATGGATGAACTCCAAAAGCTTTTGCAAAATAAAAGACCCCAAACGCTACATGTTGCATGATTCCATTTACATAATATTCTGTGAAAGGTAAATTCTGGTGACAGGAACTACAGGAGTGGTCAGAGGATGAGATGCGGCCAAACTCCCAGGAAAGGGACAGCACAAGAGGGTTTGTTGCATGTGGTGAAATTTTCATGTCTCATTACAGTACTCCTTGAAATTGTCATAGCTCATACAACTGTGCACTACAAAAGGCTGAATTTTTCTTTATATAAATTTGAAAATAAACAGATTTGAAATAAATAGTTGCTATAATAGCAAAGTGATAGAAGTTAGTCATCTTTGAGTAGCACTTGTTTTATAAATCTGAGTTTGAAACTAAGCATGTATTATAATTATAAGACAAAATTAAAATTTTTACACAATCCCTGAAAATGAAAGATGTAATGAACCCAAATATGTATCCAGCTAGTAGCATCAGCACTATTACTGTATGTGGCTTTGAAATACAGTCATTCAAATGTCCATCCCTAAAGACAAAAGGAACTACCAAAAAAGGTTTATATTGCCTGCAAAAATCATATTTTTAGTGATAACAGTATAGTGCTATATTCTGAGAGGTTTGATGTGTACTGTCTGATAAAGTAAATAAGGATCTTATGGTTATATAATATATATGATAGTGTTTATATAATAATGTGGTAATTTAATTCTATTATCCCCAGAGTTCTTAAAAAATAGGGTCCTCTACTTCAGAGAAAGAAGACACAGGTAAAAGATAGAAGAGATTTAAGTGGAAATCCTATTGTCCTGAACTTGAATTGCAAATATAAGTATGACCTCACAAATTAATTTTTCTTGAAAAATATTCCTTTCTAATTTTATCCACTGAAAGGGCTTGAAAAAAATCATCAACCCGGTAGCAAACAGCACATCTATCAGCCAGAATGTGGTTTCAAAATATCACTTTCCACTAAAATGATCCAGGAGTTCTAGAAAAATAGGTGAATCCCAGTCTGGGGCCAGACATATATAAATTAGAGTAGGATATCTCTTTATACAAAGCATCAAGGAAATTCTCAGAAGCAGTGGAGCTTTTTTTGCAAATAATACTGTATGTAAAAAATCTATGAGATTCATGAGAAAAGTAGAAATAGAAACACTGAATATATATATATATGAATATGATAAGGAACTAGGCATAATAATGGTATTGAAATTTTTTAAGTCATTTTCTTTTGGAGCTAACAGTGAAACATGTTAGAAATGATGTGATGCCTAGATTTGCTTCAAAATAACTGGAGGTTTAGACATGGCTGGGAGGTGTAGATGGGATGAAACTGGCCATGAGGTGATGATTATTGGAGCTGGTTATACGTGCATGAGAGTTTGTTTCACTTTATTTCCTATTGGAGATGTTTGGAATTTTCCAACATCTGCCCTGTCCAGTGTGCTGGCTGCTGTGCTGCTAAGAACTCTGACTTTCCCCGTTGTGCTCACACAGTGCTCCAAGAGCTGCCAGGGCGGCTTCCGGGTCCGGGAAGTGCGCTGCCTGTCAGATGACATGGCTCTCAGCAACCTCTGTGACCCTCAGTTGAAACCAGAAGAGAAAGAATCTTGTAACCCTCAGGACTGTGTCCCTGAAGTTGGTAAGTAGAGATTCCTCTTTTAACTCTGGCAAATCCTCTGGAATGAAAATGCCAATAAGGTCTTTCTGACCTTGTGTAATCATGGGGTTCAGTAGGTCAAATTACTCTGGGAATGATTCATTTCATTGTTTAAAATGACTGTTCATAGCATGGATGGCAACCCAAGCCACCCACCAAAAGATAAACTTAATGTGAATTGATTAAAATGGTCATACATTGGGGAATATAAAAATAAAATTTATTATATAAAAAAAATGTAAGAAAAAAAATGGTCATACATTCAGAGGTTTGTGCCATCAGTCTTAAGGTAAAATAGTAAGATTTTAACTTGATTGTAGATATAAAATGTTGTAGGCTGGGCCATGAGAGGCGATGTCAGGGCATCAGCAGCCAGTTGGCAGAGAAGGGAGAAAGGGCAAAGACCAAGCTCAAGGAAGGGAAGATGACAGGTTGCACACCAGCTGGAGTCCTGCAAGGACAGCAACATCACAATTTAGAGGGCTCCAACTTGTAGCCTTAAAATAGGGTCCAGTTCCCTGAAGGAAACCGTTGGTTAGAGTTAGGGAGACCAGCTTGTGAGCTGCAATTTGTGAGGCAAGACCCCAATTCCAACAAGGGAATTGAAGTGCAGTGGGGTGAAGATGTACCTCCAAAGGTATATTAGATACCCCAAAACCCCACCCCAAGTCTATTTTGAATACACCAACAGACTTGGCCAGGATTAGCTCTAGATTAGAGGTAGGCTGACCCTCTTCTTTGGATTCCTTCAGCGTTCTCATTTTCTATTTACTCCCGTTGTCAACACAGCAACGTTAAAGAAAACGTTAATATATTATCAGGCTGTGATGCAGTAGATTCCTTTGGCTGTGGGCTAAATTGAAAGTTTTAATATACTGACCTAGCCTCCTCTCATGTGGAAGGATGTGTAAGTTACAGAATAAATACTTGATAAGAAAAAAATTCCTATGTGCCAGCCATGACCAATGAGTACCTTATATGGTGACTATCCCCAGTGGCAACAATAAATTAAATTCCATAAAAAGAAATGTATAAACCTATAAAAAAAAATAGGCCTTCATATAGAACATAAAAGGAATGTGAATGGCTAGAGAGACTAATGGAATGGAAACTGTCAACACTGTAGAAAAGTAAAAGAAGGTTCATGAGGTTCTATATATTATATATATTATATATTTGAACATACTATAAACCTCAGAAAATAAAACAATATGGTACTAACACAGGAAGAGACAAACATCAGTGAGTGTTACAATACGAAATTCTGGAACAGATTCCTCTGTACAAGGATAGTGAAGCATGACCTATGCATCGGCTAGCTGTCATGATAAAAACCTTGCGTCAAGGAAGTGGGGAAATAAGAGGCTTTCATTGTATTTAGACAATTGAAGATCCATTTGATGAAAACATCATAAGCCATCTCTAAATATAAATGACTAATGGATTAAATATATTAACTGAAGACACATTCTAAAAACACTAGGAAAAAATACTTATCTTGGTGTTGGTTTAAGTCTTCATAAACTAGATCCAAAATCCAGAAGCCTTATTGTGGGATGTGAAAACAGGATAAATTTAAAACTTTTTCCCAAAAAGGTTAGAAGTTTGCCAGAAAACCAGAATTAATAGATGATAGATGACTGACTGACAGGTAGTTAGATCGACAGGTAGGTAGGTAGGTAGGTAGGTAGACAGAGCTAGAAATTGCCTCACACAATTTAAAGGCTGAGAATCCCACTGTTGAGCCTACTACCTGGAAGCTGGAGACCCAAGAGAGCTGGTACTATGATTTAGCCTAAGTGCAAAGACCAGAGAACCAAAGTAGCTGATGAACTGATAAATCCCAGTCTGAGGCAGAAGATGTAACAAGATGCCCCAGTTTGAAGCAGAGAAGCAGAAAAAATAAGCGGTAGCTTCTTCCTTCCTCTGCCTTTATTTCTAGTCAGGTCTTCAACAGATGGCTGCTGCCCATCCACTTTGGGAAGGCAATATACTTCACTGAGTCAACGCATTCAAACACTGATCTTAGCCAGATACAGCCTCACAGACACACCCAGGAATAATGCTTCATCTGGTCATCCTACAGCCATCACATTAACACATGACGTTAATCATGCCATGCATCAGAACTCAAGTAGGAAGAAGAGAGGCATGCAAAATCATGAGGAAAAAAATGGAAAACATCTTATTCAAATGTGATACCATCAATATAAGAAGAAAATGTCCAGACAAGAGCCAGGAGGAATAAATAGTGACTTAATTATCATTACTGGAGTCACACACTCAAGTATGTTCATCCAGATGCCACTAACATTAACTGATTTGTACTCACTACACACTAACAATTGAAACTTGATTTAAATTTGGAGTACGAATTGTTACTTAACTTGCTTTTTAAAAGATTGTAGTATAATGCAACATTGAACAGTTGTATTCATAAAGTTGCCTGCTTGTCTCAGGCCAGGCAAGATGATTAAAAACAGTTGGAATGACCAGATCCTTGGAATTGATAGTATAAGTTTCCAAGCTAGGAGCTATTGGTGACCAGTCTGTGTGCTCTGAAGGGTTGTCACTCAGCTGGCAAACATCTGTGACAGTTTCCAACTAATATGATACATAACAGATTTTTTTTAAAGATTTATTTATTTTTTATTTATACAAGCACCAGATGTGTAAGTTACAGAATACATACTTTATAATAAAAAAGCGCAGGAGGGTGAGAGGATTCACCAGAGCCAGAGCCAGGAACAGAACAGGCAGACTGACAAAATACACTGCTGAGGGGAGCAGCGGGCAACGGGAGAGGTCTGCACGCCATGTGGGACCCTCGCGGGCGGCCGGGGAACAAACCGGCACTGCAGAGGCGGGCAGCTTCGCAGCCCAGCGCTCAACCGCTGCACCACCAGGAGAGGCCCAAAACAGATTTTTTTTTTAGCCAGTCTGGTTTGTTTTTTTTTTTTTTTTTTTTGTTTTTTTTTTTGGCCAGTCTGTTTGTGTCTTCTATATTTGTCTGTGTCTTTTCAAGGGAAAGAAAAGAACGCGTTCACTTTCCAATTTTATAAAATTCAATTAAGGGAAAAAAGGGGAACTATAAAATTAATAAAATAGAAAATGTAGGCAAAACTTCGGTATTCTTAGATACACCAAAGCTAAAGGTACTGCAAATGCCCAGGCTGTGAGCCAAAGTTACAAAACACAGCGTGCACCCCAGATGTGTGCTGATGGGCAGAATAGGGACAGACTCTGGAGGTAAGGAGGTTCAAGGGCACATTTGATTATGATGAAGAAGAAAGTAGTATGTACATAAATGAGTAAATATCTGCCACTGCCAGAACTTTCTAAACTTTACATGACCATTATAATTTTTCATTTAATCATCTAGACTATTAAATCATCTTACAATTGATAATGTACTGGAATCAAATAAATGTCCTTCAAGTAGACAAAAGGCAAATCCCTCACATAGACACACAACTCGCTCAAACTATTTTTTAAAGAAACTCTACATCTCTATACCTTCCTCTTGGTTTTGCTTTGAAACTAAAACTGCAGGCCCCGCCCATCCCAAATCTTAATATACAAAGAAACAACAATAAAAAGGGATCCAATTTTTTTTTTAAAGATTTATTTATTTATGCATACAAGAGTTGGGGTACAGGCCAGAAGTGTGGGGGATGAGAGGATTCACCAGAGACAGAGTGGGGAACAGAACAGGCAGACTGACCAAAGTACACCGCTGAAGGGAACAGCAGGCGAGTCAGGAGAGGTCTGTGCACTCATGTGGGTTGCTCCCTGGCCGGCAGGGAATTGAACTCTCAAACTCATGCTGCAGAGGCTGTGGACTGCTTCATAGGTTGCGTCTTAACCCCTTGTGCCACCAGGGAGGCCCAAAAGGGATCCAATTTTATAAAGCATGAAGGATATGAACAAGCTTAACAAAAGAAGTTGACGAAATGCTTGGTCAGCCTCACCAGTAATTGAAACACAAATTTAAAAAATAATTGGAGTCCCTTTTTCCATAATGTTGAAAAACTTTTTAAAAACTGGACAACATTCATTGTTGGCAAAGTTGTGAGGGAGAAAGTCAGCTCCTGCTTGTAAGTGGGGGCAATCTTTTTGGAGAACTTGGCAATATCTATTAAGACACAAAGTGCTCACTATCTCCAACTCAGCACAAATTCTAGGGATTTATTCTAAAGATGCACTCTCCAGAATGTACAGATATGTGAACATATGAAAAACAGGGCTCAGGAAAATGTGGAGAATGAATGAATGAATTATTGAATTTCTTATAACTCATAAAAATGGAAAGCAATTATATTTCTACTACCTGAAGGAAATGATCAATGAAACTATGTTACAGCGCCCAAGGCAGAATATGCTGAACACCCTTACAAAGAATGTGCTGCAGTTGTATGTTATGATATATAAATGTGTCTATATATGTATGTGTGTGTGAGCAATATAAAAAGCAAGATGCTTACCCATATATTGTCAGTTATTTTCCACATTCATCCATAATTTCAAGCAATGTTAATCAAAATCCAGAGAGTGTTTTTTATAGAAATAGCTGACAAACTATGTCTAAAGTTCATATAAAACAGCAAAAACCCAGGAATGGTGAAGGCAATTTTAATAATGAACTGTGTTGGGAAATTTATCCTACCATACATCAAGATATAGAAACATAGGAACAGATAACTAACCAAGGGAACAGAATAGAAAGCGAGCCCCAGACTAAACCCTAGCATGTAAGGATGATTGATATGTGGTGGATGTTAGCATTAAGAATGAGTTAAAAGGGCCTCCCTTGGTGGCGCAGGCAGTTGAGCGCAGCACTGTGAGACTGTCTGCAGCCTCTGCAGCATTGGTTCGATCCTGGCCAGCCGGCAAGGGTCCCACATGGCGCAGCAGACCTCTCCTGTTGCACCCGCTGCTCCCCTCAGCAGTGTATTTCTTCAATCTGCCTGTTCTGTTCCCCACTCTGTCTCTGGTGAATCTTCTCACCCTCCCGCATATCTGGCCTGTACCCCAGTTTTTGTTTTTTTGTTTTTTGGGGTTTTTTTAGATTTATTTATTTATTTATACAAGCACTGGGTATAGTCAGAAGCGCAGGAGGGTGAGAGAATTCACCAGAGCCAGAGGGGAGAGCAGACAGAGCAGGCAGACTGATGAAGTACACTGCTGAGGGGAGCAGCAGGCGGCAGGAGAGGTCTGCGCGCCATGTGGGACCCTCACCCGGTGACCGGGTATCGAACTGGCACTGCAGAGGCTGCGGGCAGCTTTGCAACCCAGCACTCAACCGCTGCGCCACCAGGGAGGCCCTGTACCCCGGTTTTTGTATAAATAAATAAAAATCTTTAACAAATGAGTAAGGAGAAGAATGTTCCACCTCGGTGATGGGTGTGCTAGGGTAACATATACCTGAAGACTTGGGATCCTATACTTCTGAATTATATCCAGTGCTGCAAACAATGTTACTTTAATAAAAAGGTTATTAAAATGAAAGCGTAAATAAATGATGAGACAATTGTTTATCCATATAGGGAAGACAATAAATTTAATTCCTACTTCTCACCGTATACTGTTCCAGGTGGGTTAGGGAAATACATGTGAAAAGAAAATTTTAAAACTCAAAAGAGTGAAGGAAAAATTAATACATACACATCATTTGCTATATATGTACATAGTACATAATATATATTAGTCTTTCATTTATATATATATAAATTTCTTAAATTAGAAACAAAAATTCCAAACAACTTGAGAAATTATACTGTCAAGTACATTAAAAATAAAAATCTGTTTATCAAATATTGTAAACCAAATGATAAGAAAAGCCACAGACTTGCAATGCATGTAATGGGCAGAGAATTGGGATCTGTTATATATAAACAATTTCTATGAATTCTTTTTCTAAGTTAACTAAATTAGCAAATTGGCAAAGGGTAGGAAAACAATTCATAGAAAAGGAAACTGGAATGGCAGATATGCATATGAGGATAATACCTTCAACCTCACTTGGAGTAAGGTCACATCTGTCAGATCTGCAAAAATATACCACATGTGGCCTAAATAGAATTCTGTGCTGCTGGAGGAATGTAAACTGATATTTTGGTGAGCAATCTGATGAGATCTAGAAAGCTGTTTACAAGAGCATTGTTTGCAATTGTAAAAAAAAAAAAAATAATAAAGAAAACAAATTAACGTCTGTCCATGGGAAAAGGGCAGATTGTGGAATGTATTTATAGAGTGGACTACTATTTAGTAATGAAAACAAACTCGATAGAGCAGTCATTAAACATGAATGAATCACATAAATTAATGTTGACCAAATTGCCAGGGAGGATATGCAATATATCTTCTTTTTTTTTTTTAAGTTTAAACATCTAACAGAGTTTAGAGGTACAGCTCTAATATAAAGAAATGTTTGGGGATAATAAACACCAAATTTGGGGTTTGATCACCTTTGGAGCAGGAGGGGAAAGAGGGCGGTGATGGCTTGAACGCTAAGAACTGTAATTATGTTGGTGATGTTTCTTAATTTGAGCTGTGAGGACACTGTTCTTGGAATTATTCTGTATACCCATTTTCATCATCACACTTAAAAGAATAAGGAGAAGATGCAAGGTCTCAGTGTGCGTATAGCTCTCCCATAGACAGGAAACAGCAGGACCAGAATGACAAGTCTCATCCCTTAGTCCAGGCCCCACCTTTTGCTCAGCAAGTCTTTTTCATTCTCTTCTGCTGCAGATGAAAACTGCAAGGACAGGTACTACAACTGCAACGTGGTGGTCCAGGCGCGCCTCTGCGTCTACAATTACTACAAGACTGCGTGCTGTGCATCCTGCACACGTGTGGCCAACAGGCAGCCGGGATTCCTGCGTGGCAGATAACCCCCCAGCCACATCAGTGAACAGGCTGGGGAGTCTGAGCAGCGGGACTGCGGCAGCACCCCCAGGGAGCCCAGGGCCTGCCAGTCAGTTGCATCACACTTCCTGAAGACAGGTGGTTGTACCCAGCCTGCGGGAAGCCCTGTGGGGCCCATAAGCAAAGCCACCAAGAACTGTTTATGCTCCCACCTGGGGACGTGCCACCTGCTCTGCTTGGGGTGCCCTCTGTAAACCATGCAGCAGGAAGATTGTGTCTCTTTCATGCTGGCACTGTCCAGGTCAGCAGTGGGCCCTACTGACCCTGTTCAGGGTGCCACTGGCTTTTCTGATATCAGCACCCTTCGGAGAGTCAGAGGAGGCAGCGACTCTCCCCACAGCCTGGATAAGCCTTGCTGAGATGTCTGCACCCCTTAGTCACCTCAGCCTGGCTCTGCCTGTTTCCAGTCTCAAAGATACCAGGCTGTTTTCCTGCCTAATGACACAACTATCTATGTCAATGTAGTGGTTTATTTTCGCAGATATATTCACAGATATCAGCTCATTAGCACCTCATGACGCCCCAGAATGGGAGTCAGGGAATGAAGCACTATCCCTGATTTGCTGACAGGGTCACTGACCTGCAGGGTACAGTCACTCATTCAGTGGCAGGGCTGAGACCTGACCCCAGCTGACCACGAAACCCTCAGCCCAAGGTCTATCCAGAAGTCCTAGGTTTTAGGATGCAGGCCATATCTGACTGAGAGGCTGAGAGGTTTCTGACCTGACAAACAAAGCCTAGACCTTTGAATTCTTTCTTCCTAATTCTCTATTCTCAGTTGTTTCAGAAGCCTCTTTCTATTGTCCCCTCCCCCACTGAGTCACAGGACTCTTCAGGTTTTGTTAAATCCCACCTTCACAGAATTATATCAAGAGACAAGAAAGCAAGGTGATTACCTGGAAATCTGATTCCATTCCCCCGAATAGGTACCTTCCATAGATCCTAGTTGGGGTCACTTTGGCCACAGAGCCTTCTGAGTCCCAGAACAGATTTACAGAGCACCCAACCCTGCACTCTGGCTCCAGCCCAATCCTTAGCCAGCCATTCTGAGCTGTTCATCTTGCAGTTCTCAATGGAAGGTCTAATCCATCTGTCCCAGCAAAACCACTTTCTTTATATTAGAGTCTCCCTTTGGTCTTTCCAGTTTGATTTATGGATTTCTCTTTGTGATTTCTCATCCTTCCTTCCCCCAATTCACAATCCATAACCTCCCCTCCCATAATTGAGCACTAAGATCTTCATTAATGCAGCCAGCTGAGAAAAGAAGCTGTGAACCCTTCCAGTGACAATTGCAGCAGCAGGGTCTTTCTTTCCTGATTCACTTAACTTGCTCTACAGTCATGTCACTTAATGACAGGAATACATTCTGAGAAAGGCATCGTTAGGCAGATTCCTTACTGTGCAAATGACATAAAATGTAATTACACAAACCTGGATGGTATACCTGCTACACACCTACTACATACAGGGACCACCATCCTATAAATAATGATCCACTGTTGACCAAGGCATCGTTAGGCAGCACATGACTGTAGTTTCAGAGGCCTCAGGCTAGAAGGGGATGCAGTGCCTATTGAAAGATAAACTATCTGAAAATCAATTAAGAAAAAAATGTATGTATGTTTATATATATATTTATCCATTAAGAATAATATCAAGCTAGACAAATTCTAAGCTTATAGAAAATTTATCTTATTTAGTACTGTGGTCCTAGGTCTATTTCCCTTTCAAAGCAAGCCTGGGTTCTTAGCAACTCAGTTCTTCCCATGAGCCCTTTAACCCCCAAATTTGCTAATGTGATGATCACTTGCAGCTTTTGGAAGCTGAGTGTCACATTCTGTTAGGTTCCTACCACCAGTTAGGTTCCTACCACCACCTATTTCCTCTTCCCCAAGTGGCAGACACCACTTTCCCAAAGCACCCCCCACTCTCCTGATCTGTATGCAACTCGTACAGATAAGCAGCAGGCAGAGGCCCAGAGGCCAATGCCAACCAAACAATGGCAAAGCAGAGATGCCAAGCCTGTCTGTTTCTGCCCAGGACCACTCCCCTCTCACTACTTACTTTTGCCTCTTGTCACTAAGTATGTTTCCTCTACACAGCTCCTCTCAGATCTTGCTGAACAAACCAACCATTTGAAGGAGACCTCAGAAAATACTTCCTGCGCATGCTGGAGGGCAGGGCAAGATCTCTGGGCGGAACAGCAGAAAGACTGTATCAGCTTAAATGAAGTGAAAATATTCTAGCCATTTGGGCTGCACCCCAGAGGCATATGACAGAGGTCCCAGCCCACCCTATGTGAGTGACAGCTCCCTCCTTAAAGGGATTTCTCCATCAAAGGGGAGGTAAACATCCCAGGTCCTTCAAGTCAGGATTCTCATGACTGGCCTGGATCTCTTTACATCTAACAATTCCCTGTGGCTCCCAAATGTTACCTCCCAAATGTAAATTGTTCTTTAAAAGACAGCGATCCTGCCAGAGCCCCTGATAGGAGCAATGAATCACTTCACATCATCAGGAGGGAACAGTAGCTAGGGCAAGGTCTTTTCCAACAGCTGAGCTCTTCTTAGAATTCATTCTTCTTGGAAAAGAGCATAAATTACTAGAACAAGGATTTTATCAACTTGCCTGAGAAATACAACTTTTACTAATTTTCTAGCTTCCTCTGTTGGCACCTCTGTTAATATAACATGCACAGTTGGGGACCTTTGGTATTTACAGTAAGAACATTCCTGGGGAGGGAATCTAAGGGAAGCTTAGTCTGTGGCTCTTTACCCCTCAATATGCCTCTGCCTCTCTTTCTTGGCACCCTGTTTTCGTAACCCCTGCCCTTCCTATTATCTGCCATCTCCTCTTCAGGCCTCTCATGTCCCCTTACCTGCCATGGTGCAGAACTTAAATTTACATTTTAATTCTGCCCTTCGTTTCCCTGGGTACTGGATTTTTTTCTTCCCTGCTCCAAATTTTTAAATGAATGAAAACTGTTACATGTTTTTATCACAAAAATCAACAAAGCTCCACACAGAAATAGTTTGGGGTTTGGTTTGTTTGTTTGTTTGTTTTTGCTTTCACCCAGGCAAAGACCATGTGATATGGTCTGTGCTTCCCATGACTCTGACTTGGCCTTCGCCCAAAGAAAAAGAGAAACACGAGGAATGGGGCACTAAAAAAGTTTGAAACCAGCCACTAGTGGGCGTGAGTTCAGCTGATTAAAGCATGTTTGGTGCCCCTGCCTGCAAGCCCATGGGAAACCAAGATACAAGTTCTAATTCCAGTCCTGGGGAGCTACCATGTGACAGGGGGCCCAGAACTCCCATCTGTCCCTTTGCCTTACTTCTCTGGCCCAGGGTTTTTGGAGTTTTGCTTTTCCCCTTCATTTCTTAGGATGTGTCTCATCTAGCTATCCTCAAAGTGTTTAGCATTCAACACTCTCTTTGCTTTAAAAAGAATGGCCTTATAGAAGAATGAAATATGGAAGACAGCAGATTAATTTATTTTCACCAAAATAGAAAGATCTATGGTATTCATTCGTACCTTTCTAAATCACCATCTCTTTTTTTAAAGTAGCCATGTTAGCCTTTGAATATCAGCTTTCATGTGTGGAAGAAGACAAAGATAGATGGTCTAAAGGAACATGACTTCCCTTAAAACCGGTGCATAATCAAGTCTGAGAAACCTCTATCAGCCTGACAGGTGGAGGACAGTGTCTGATCCTTGGCATATAAAACATTTTAAATATGGCTTAGATGGGAAAATAGTTGCCTTCCTGATAAAATCTGTGAATGACACGAAGTTGGAGAGCTAGTGACTCGAGTGATAGGCCCTGGATCCAAAGAGATCTGGGAAACTAAAATAAAACCTGGGTCTTACAAATTCTCCAGGAAGCATCATAAAGTTCTACCTTTGGATTAGAAAACAACAGCAATAAATACACAACTGGGGGGTGGGGGGGTGGGTCGAGGGGGAGGACATAAGCATTTCAGCTGACTAAGCTCATAGTGAATCAAGAAAAGAGGCTGGAATAATCACCCAAACCAGAGACACTTAGGTCACACAGGGAGAAAACATTGATGAGAGTCATACCTCATGTGTTTGTGATTGTCAGAAACTTTAAAGGGATATTAATAACCTTCAGATGAGAGTGTTTAGTCCTGGTGAGGAGCACAAACCGTTAAAAACAATGTGAAGGACTTCATGAGAATGTTTAGCCTGGAGAAGAAACCCGAGCACTCTGAGAGCTAGCCTAGCAGCAGGCGGTAGAAGCTACAGAGCGGTAGAGTTTAGCTCTTGCAAACGAACAACTTCCATCTTCCTCTGCTTTCCAAGGGCTCTGTAGTCAGTGGTGACTGACCTGGCACTGGAGGTCTCAAGCAGAGGGTGAGTGGCCATTTGTCAGGGATGCTGGGAAAGAAATTTAAGCACCAAACTGGGGCAGCATGATTTATAAGGTCCCTTCCACACTGGGACTTGGGTGACTGTAAGACACCCAAGTCTTACAGCTCTGCGTGAGCCACCTGGTCTGGAAGGCGGGTCTTCAACCCACGTTCTTCCCATTTGCATGTCAGCCTTTCTGAAGCCTCACTTTCTGCACCTCTCCCCGGAGCTGACTGTGATCTCATACCTCAGAGAACTACCAGCAGATTCATCAGAGCTACCTTGTCTGGTCTTGCTCCATAGGCAAATAACCAAATGACCTGTTGGCTAGTTTCTTCCCGGGGTCAACACCTTGTTGAGGCAGAGCCTCGACTGGAGTAGGCCCCTCCACATACCATCTCTCTTTCTCGACTTCCCTCACTTCCCCACACCTCTGCTAGAGCAGAGCAATGCTCTCCACCCACAACCATGCCACACTTCCGGTTCTATCCAGTGGGTAACAAAGGTGGCTTACATCTTGCGGAGGTGGCGGACACGTTCATCTTCCGGGTGGTGAGACTTTGCCTCAGTGAGAAGAAAGCCATTCACTCTGTTCCATAAATTTCCTCCTGCCTTGACCCCCACCCATTCAGTCTGACAGAAGGATATACTTTGTTATAACTTATTATTCTTTGTAAATACAAGATGTTTATAGGAAATGTGTATTCTGAACTCTATCTGCAGAGTGAGTCACTACACCAAAATAGTTCTATTATTTAGAATATGTTAATTTTAAAGGGACCTAATAGGTATTTATTTACATATGTGATCCACGTTTGTGCAAAATCATTGGATCATACTAACCCAGCTTCCTGTAAAGTGGCTACACGGCGCCTTATTTGCAGCCTGTATACGACTCGGTGTACCGATAAGTCCAGCTCCGTGGTTTTAAGATGGAACATAAATGACTCTGCTTTTTGACTTATTCGGGAGATTTCACCCTGACATTGTGCCTGTAAGAGGCCTATCTTTCCATCTTAAACATCCTATTTGCTCATACAATCTCTCTAGCTTCATCCCTAAACATTTGGAGAAGGAAATATTGAGGCTCTTTTTCATGCCTTCTCTGTCTTGCCTCCTGGTTAGAATCACAGCGATGAGTTGTGGGACACTTGGCAAGAGCAGTGTCTGAGGCGAGTCCTGGCAGCGCCAAGGCGGGATTTAAAGGGATATGACCATGGCCCCAGGTTCCCCGATGGGGCTGCTGGTGGGGGCCAGAGGGCTGGGGGTCATCCTGTCCACTATATATCCAGGAACATGGAATTTTCTAAAAACCCCATTACTCCATGTCATCCTTGTACCGCTGCATTGTTTAAAGGAGGAAGAAGATAACCGATGAATTGTATGAGTAACTACAGTCTGTTTTCAGCAAAAGTGACAACTATTTTTGTGTATGACTAATTTATTTTTATTATTGTAAAAAATACAATAAACTGGTTAAAAGATCAACTTTGATAACACGTTTGCTCTTTCTCGGGTCTTATTCCAAATCTATTCATATGGCTTCAAACAGCCTGCCCTCGAAGTGCCCTGTGGGGCTTGGGTCCTGGGTGCTGTGTGGCGTCTGGGCTACTCAGGGCACCTTAGATACAAAGAACCCTCCCCTGTTGGTGCTCCACCTTGGCTGTATGTCTGAATCCCCTGGGGAGTTTAGATTATCTCTGTCTCTCAACCCAACCAAAACTTCTTCCAGGTCCCCTCCAGGTGACTTCTCCTCAGTCTTGATTTTAATGTAGCATTTAACAAAATCTTTCAGGTTATCTTGGTGCATAATAAAGTCAACTATGACTTAGGAGATAATGCCCGTGATTCTGTCCTCTACAGCTTTTCATCAGTAATTCTTGGACACTTCTTAATTATGCACAAAATGTGAATCCACCTTTTTTGCCTGGAAAATCTCCAGGCATTTTCTTTCTATTGTGGTGAGACTCATTTACATAAAAATCACTATTTTAGCCATCTTAAAATATACAGTGCAATAGTATTCCTCACACTTTCATTACTCCAGCATGCCATTTATTCTTACCCAAATCACAAGCCCTCTATATCCTGATCTCACAGCTGACTTAAAAAGTTGGAAGGTGATCCCTGTCTAGAAGCGAGAGCATGGAGACTCAGCTTCGGTGTCCAGGTCACACTTGGTAGCTCTGGGATCCTACCGTGAGCTTCTGCCTGGGCTGCCTGGACCACCCCATCTCCATCCCCCGGGGCGGGGTTACATGCCTCTAGCACGCGTTAGCTCCAGTCTCCTCCACATCAGTTAGTCGTGGATGGAAAACGACTGGAGGGGATGTTTAGCCATTGGTGAAAAGTTGTGGCACTGTTCAGTCTCTGGCCAGTCTCTGGGAGGACAGGGTCATGCATCAGTCAATGGCCCCCCAAGCAGTCCCAGTCATACCTGGCAATGCATATCCACTGTGCCAGGGAGATCAAGCATCCTGCTCTTGTTAAATTTGAAAGGAGACTTGTAGGATCTGGCATCCTACATTCTTTAGATAATGAATTGACCGGTCTGGACTGACTTTGTATTTGAAGGCAGAACCGCACGTAAACAAAATGGTGGTCGGGCAGGCCATTTAGGTCTAGCAGACCCACAACAGGGAATACAGAAATTCTTTGTACTTCCATTCAATTCTACATATTCTCAGTGGTCTGAAGAGCAACCCGAAGAGGAAGAAAACTGGTTCTTGGAGACTAGAAACGGTTATTCTCCTCGCACTAGAGCATTGTTATGTATAGTACATAACCAGATAAACAACATCTCGGTGGCATTAAAATTTCATGGAGGGGGGAGGGTGATTAGGGAAAACTCTCACATGTCAAGGGCAATAATGAGAAAAAGGTTAAGAAGTACTGCTATTACCTTTGCCAGTTTACTCTTCGGTACCATTTTCATCATGTCTTCACCTGCTCAGAGTCCCCACTCTCTGTCGGGCGGGTGGGTGGGGGGGTGAGGGTCCCCAGGGAAAGGGGAGGTTCCAGGTTCCCTGCCCCACCCAAGAAAGGGTGGAGCTGAGCAGGGAGAAGAAGAAACTGGAGCGGAAGAAGGACGGAAGCAGGATGGAGAGCAAGGAGACCTGGAGGAGGCACATGGAGCAGAGAGATGTGAGAAAACTGCACTTGTTTGTTGGTCCTGGACTGGCTGAAACAGATGTGGGTGAGAGACCCATGGGGAGGTTAACAAGCAGAGTTTTTCTTGATTTTGATTTTGTTCTTTTCCTTCCAGATTTGCCTGGCTGTTCCTGACCCTTTCCTATGGGTCCCCACCGGAAGGTGCTTTAAACTGTGACAGGCTTCCAGGCCTCAGCGCCCTGCTTTGGGCCAACGCTGTTTGGCTGGGCATTTACCCACAAGGGGATGGCTAACTTCGGGTGTTTGATTTGAAATCTTTATTCTTTGTCCTTTCTTTGTTGCACACTAATTTTATTAAAGTTCCTTTCCACTGAAGGTCTCACACACAATAGAATATTTTGTCTTAATATGGCAGAGGGCAGAACCTATTTAAAGCAGGCAGGTTGGGGGGTTCTGGGGTGCCCCGCTTCCTGCTCTGCAACAGATTGATGCTAGAAAGCCCAAATTCCTTATTATGTTGTTTAATGTTCTTCTTATTGTGACCCCAACTGTCTTTCTACCCTGCTTCCCCTCTTGTCCCCACATAGGTCACCCTCTCCTATAAATTGCTGCTCCATGTCTCGGACCACAGTTCCCACTTTCCTCCTTTACCCCTGCCAGTCTGGGTGCCTTCCCCTATAATGCCTTTCCCTTGGAAATCCATTCAGTTTTCAAGACCAGCTAAACCCCACCTCTGGATTTAACACTTCCTTCTTCACTTCAATTGAAAAGTATATCTCATTTTTCTTTGTTTCAATGGTCTAGCTTACCTATATCACGCAGTAGATGAAATTTATTACTCTGTGCTTTTTACCATCTGATTTAGATCCCTTCTCCCATACAGTACAGGTCCCCTAGATGCATTTCTGAGATTCCTATCCCCCTCTACTGAGAATGGTCTTTGTGCAGTCGGCACTGGTACATTTTCATAATTCATCTAATTATTTCTAATTTAAGAAAAAACCCAAGTATGTCTAGCAGAAAAGGACATAATAGGACAGACTTTGATGATGCTGTGAAGGAATAGATTTATGTACTTTTTTCCAAATATAATTACCTAAATGTAAATATTTCGGTAGCAAATGCATTTACCAGCAAGCAGAACACAGTGTAGCAGACATACACCAAACAGTCTACAGAAGCCACAGGTCATTGTGTTTTCATTCCTCCTTGTTTAAGAAAAATAATTGTAACAGTGAAACTAGAGCTGTTGTTCAGAGCCAAGTAGAGTTTCAGGGTTCATAAGAACTTCAAGAAAGTTTAGACAACAGTTGATACTGAGAATTTCTATGGAGAACAGTAATGGAGAACAGTAATCTCAGTTTAGGAATAATTTATATGTTGGGTCACTCACTTTCTATAAGATGGTATTAATAAGAATGGCTTGGAAAAAATAGTATAAGAAAACACAA